GATTTTGTGAGTTAAACTGAGCACGCCCTGTCCTCTGCGGGACCTTCTGTGTGATTTAGATGTAGATGAGGTGCTTAGGGACATGGTTTAGTGGGCATGGTGGTGTTGGGTTGATGGTTGGACTCGATGATCTTAGAGGTCTTTTCCAACCTTAATGATTCTATGATTCAGCTGCCTCCGCACCCATTGCAACAGAAATGAGCATGCAATGACTAAGCAGTCTCTGCATGCACATCTAGGGAAATCAATGACCTAAAATGAAGTCTCATATTGATTTTAGACATTAAAAACCAATACTAACATATTCACACGTATACACTCACATTGCCTTTTAAAAAAGGCATGCAAGTTCAGAAGATTTCTTCACACAGTTTAAGTTTTGCAAAATGTGGAAGTTTTTGCAAATGTCTGATGCAGTCTTCGCTTTAATGCATACTCTCATCTTAATGCAGGGTCCCTCACTTTAATGAATTTCCTGCTAAAATCCTCATTTTTCAGCTGTTATTCTTGTGTGGTACATTTAGAAATGAAAACAAAATGGTATTAGTGCCTCTAGCTCAGCAAAAGTGAATGTGTGCTATACGATATGCTATAAAGATCCTTGCTTTTGGGAAATTGCCTGCTAGTTCCTTTTGCAGACCACGGGATTGTGTAGATCTGACTCACTTTCACACCTTTCAGTCAGCAGCTCTGTACTGCTATGCCATGTCAGTGCTGTCCTGAATGGGCCCACAGGCAACTCCAGGGTGTAAATAATGCAGCATAACAACAACAACGGCTTGTGTGGTGACAAGAGATTAAGATGATTTTGATCCATCCTCAGACATTTGGTAAAAGTGAAAGGCAGTCCCTTCGAGCACTGCTAGTTTATAACTCCAGTTTCCACCTCAGGCATTAGCCTGGGCCAAATGCTGATCAGACTAAGGGCTTTGACTTGGTCACTGGGCAAACAACTGCGCTAGTTTAAAACATAAGCATCTCTTTTCTCTTGCCCCCATTTATTGATATTACCCTACTTCTAGGAGTTACCACCCTAAAAACAGCGGCAAAAGACTGCTCCAGTTCACAGTCTGTTGTTCTGGTGGGAACTCTGCTCCATCCGTGATCTGAGATGGGATGCTGCAATATGGAGCGGGGCCCCAAGACCTCCATACGGATCCTGCTGACTGCAAGGGAGCTGGGAACCACAAGCAGAGGAACATGGCAGAGACCTGTTATGGCCTTAACCCCCCAACAAGATGTGCCAGAGGTCATTTGTCAAAGCCCTAATCTATCACTGTGCTTTTTTTCATGATGGCAAAAACAGATTGCTAGAGAAAAGCAGACAGCAGGCCCCTCTACAGGTGCACCAGTCTCTCTGTCTGTCTATTTATGGAGGTTGCTCCCCATCCTCATTAGCAAAACAGCTCATCTATTGAATGCAATTTAATCAACAAATGGGGTTGTCCTTGGCAGGGTATCTTCAGTTGAAGAATGACTCCTCTTTGTAGAGATCGAGTTGTACAAACGCTTTCATTTGATTGAAAAGAATTAGCCCAATTAAATACATAAATGTTTAAGTAAACCCTTTGGACATAGTTCACTTAATAAAAAACAAATAAATATCCAATTTTAAAGAGAGCAGCAAACTGCTGGGCATTTCACAATGTCAGCTCAGGTTTTCTAGAAAAGAATACCCAAATCCACTTATATGTAAATTAAAGGCATGGTTATTTTTCCTGCAGCCTTTTTAAATATTGCTTTGGAATTTACACAGAAATGTGTGTGTTTGGCGGGGGCGGAGGGAGGGAGTCCCCTCTTCACAACATGGGCTATCTCAGCACTATTTGGAGTGCCTATTAGTCTAATGCCTTTTCAGAGTGCCTGAAGACATGAAGAAGCACTTCTTATCTAGCATACCCACTAAGGATTAGGCATTTTTATGGGTTCTTAGCATTGCTACTTATTTATTCTATCTAGTTATGAGCATGTTACGGGGGGTCGGAGTATGTCTTGTTTTCATAAAGCAAAAATTTTCATTTAATTGCTAATTCTGGAATATTTCTGCTTAACATTACATTTCATGGTGCACAATTCAGCTGCTTCTCAAGTGAGTTCTTGCAGTCGCTCCTCTGCACCTGCCTCTTGTCTTTGTCATCCTCCTATAATGTAGATTGCAACTCCTGGATTATCTTTTCTACCTTCCTGGATTACCTTTTCTACCTCCAACCTCAACCATTTTTTCACTTCACCTTTTGCAAGTCCAGAATGAATCTCACTCACCGCCGAACCTCCACCTTTGCTGTCTCTGTGCTTTGACCCTCCTTTACTAACTGCACGTACGTGTTCCCTGTGGCCCAAGCTGCAGCAGTTGCTCTGCCATGCTCGAAGAGAAGGCTGAACACTGTCTGCTGATCAGCATCCCTTTGAACACCCTCTCCTTTGAGAGCAACCACATGCGCTGAATTAGGCTCTCAGTGTCATCCTCACTAGCACCCACAGCAGCAGGAGGCGCAGGACCAGCACTGCCACCACCACCATTTCTCCCATCAGCAAACCAGTACAGGGCTCATGGCAGCTCAGCTTTTCTGAGGGCAGATTTTGAATGCAGCGTGTATATATGTGGTTCTTGAGACAACTCATTTCACAGACTCAGGAATAGAAAGCATATCATTGTGGCTTAATCAAATTAAATATTCAAATCAAAGCATTAATTACTTAATCTCACTAAGTCTCAAGACAAATTTAAGTCTTTGAAACATCATTTTTTGGCCTGTAGGCTGTAATGAGTAAGCCAGTCTCTAATGATTCAGAAAAGACTGGAGGGTTTGGCTTATCACCAACCAAGAGGTATTTATGAAAGACAATGAGCAGTGTGGTTATTAAATGGCCTTCGGACAGTACCTCTTCTTCACAGATGGCTTTGCTAACACAGGCACTGATATTAAGTAAAAAAAAATCCTAGTGAAGCATTAAATTTCACTGCCAATGTATGTGGGAAAGAGATGTTTCGTGGCAGAGCTGTCTGGTGGAAATCACTACAGCAAATTTCAGCTGTCATTATAATCTGTTAATTAATGTGTTAACATATGATTGCAGCAGATCGGCGAGACCAGCACTCCCGTCAAGTCTAGGCATGCATAACACATGCCCTACATGCTCCGGGTCCAGAAAATACAGTAAGAGCACATGCCTTCACGGTTAATGTAATATATCTCATGGTCCTTATGTGTACCTAGAAGGAAAGCTGTCAGCTGAAATCTTTCACATGGGTTTCCTCACTGACTTTAATGGCAGAGTGATTCAATTTATGCAAATATCTGACTCATGAGTCAAGACTGAGATGGCGAAGGTGGTCTCAGAGACTCTGCTCTGATTGTGGGCACAACTGTGTTTAAGGTCAGAGTTTGTAACTGCCTAAGTGCTGTCTTCAAGGAGCTCAGACTGGCACGACACCCACCTTCTCGTGGGTTTGCAGAGGAATAACATGGAAAGGTAACACTTTTCTGCACTCTGGGGAGAGCAATGACTGAAGCCTGTGAACGAGAAGGCTGTCAGGAGACACAAGCAGGAATCGCAGAGCCAGGCTGCTCACATGCTTGGCATGAAAGAGCAGGCATCAGTGTGCACCAGCGAGGGTATCAATAGCACAAAAGGATATTGGAGTTCAGAATAACAACGTAAACCTTCTAGAGCACATTACACATCCTCTGGGCAACACCATTAGTGGCTGTTGATAACAACATCAGTGGCAGTGGTAGAGATGGGTGCTGATATTCATAATATGAATTTCTGGTCCCATGCCAGATCAAATGCACTCCAAAACACCACAGGAATGGTGTAAGGGAGGGTGACCTGGAGCATCTCTGCCAAAGCAATATTTTTTTTACCTTTCAACCTCAATTCATTTGCATATCTTCACAAGAAACATCTCTGAGATGGAAACAGAACTCCTTACTCTTGAAGCTTGACAGAAATATCAGTGTAAAATTAAAAGATAATGCAGCAGGTTTGTGTTTAACCCTAGGAGACCATTTGGTCCACTGTTCTTTGCACTGGGATTTCTGCCAGGCTACCACAAGCCCTGCACACATAGCTATGGAAAGGGTTTCTAACACTAACCATAAGGTTTAGCTCGCAGGGTCTGGAAATAAGGAGCTGTGTGTGCCCATGCTTGGGAGTGGCAGTTCCCAAGCCTGCGGAGGGTCAGGGTGCTCAGTCCCTCCTACTCCTTCAAGAGGATTGCAGACCCCCCCCCCCCCTTCCTCAAGTGACACAGGATCAAAAAGCACTTATAGAGTAGGGTATCAGCAGCTGCATCGACCCTTCTAGCTAAACAAGGACCTGGATATGCACGCAAACATCAGATTCTGATTATCCACATTGCTTAATCCTTAGCTCGCTGCCAGGCCCTTGTTTTCTATCAGCCCGATGAGCTCTCTAGAGTTGGCTCACCCCATACCACGTGGCTGTGAGCCTGGCTTGGCTGCATCCCTAGTTCTCGTTCAGCACTCAGTGTAGACATCACCATTAAGACCAGTGGCTTGTTTGGGAAAAGGCTGATATAGAGGGCAAGTGCTATTTACCAGCTTCCCAAGGAAGTGAGTAACCAGAACCATACTCTTTAGGCTTGGGTTAGAAGGCCATAAACATGCCAGACTTCAAAGGCAGCTGATTGCACTCATTGTGAATTACCCTCACCTGTGCTGTGATGCCTCTGCCTACCCTGTCAAGATCTCCAGGAGTGTTAGCTCCTGATTGTGAGACTATTAAATCTGACGTCTTAAATATATACATAGATACATTCCTTCATTTTCTTTTATAATGTCCTTCTGGAAAATATTTCCAGCAGATCTAGCTGAAATCCCCTGCCTTAGCACCGTATCAGAATGATGCAATATGAATACCCTGCCACACACAGCTGGGTTGCTTCTCCAAGCCTGTGCTCATGTCCTCATTTACTTTTATGGACAACATATAGAAGAGTCTAATGTAGCTGAGATGCTCTGATGATGACTCACCCAGTTCAAACTGGTTGGAAAGGTTACCACAGGTTTGTCTGACTTCTTCACTGTCCCAGCCAAGAGGATAGAGAGCACAACCAGAGCCAATCAACAAACCTATGGAGAGAAAAGAAAATAGTTTATACAAGCAATTGCCATTAGCTTAAACACAGGCTGCCACTTGAGAATTAAAGTGTCAAACTGCCACTTGGGAATCTCAGAGAAAAAAAAAAAAATCTCTTCTTCTCCTTAAACCAGTAGAAAATCATTTGGACTGCTGCATTCTGCTACGCCGTTTTACAGCTGGAAGCAGCCTTGGCAGTTCAGCACCAGAAGCCTCAGCTTCTGTAGCTTCTACCTGAGAGCTTTTAGACTCCCCTTCTACTCTGCAGAACTGCTACATATGCTGTTTGGAAAACTCAACACAGGGTTAAATAGAAGCTGTGTTAATCACAGCATTTACAAGTTGATTGCTTCTGATTAATTAAAACAACAATCAACCACGGTCTATCAAGGTTCTAGCAGGAAAAGTAAACTGACAGTTGTGCTAATCTGTTGTCATTTTCCTTTGGTTTTCACCCTTTCAAAAGCCAGGAAAGAATGGTTTCATGTCACCTGATCAATTCATGCCGTAGGTACGCACTCCACAAAGTTTTCTCAAACCATTTCAGCTAAAACAACTGAGCTCTTGAGCCATTTACTTATTATCATGCTTGGCTTAACATTCACAACATGCTTTGCTTCTCCAGCCCTCATGCTGCCCCAAACAGATGTGCTTTGGCTAAGTCTTTCCCTTCACAAGATCTAGCTGGGAATCACCCAATGGGCCATGATTATTTTGCAGAAGTGGCATTTTTATCATATTGCATTCTCAGCTGCCACTGCAGCAGCTGCCAAAAAGCGGGTGTAGCTGGCAAAGCTTCTTAGACGGACAACCCAGAGAGAACATTTCAATGTATGCTACAGCATTTAAATGTTATCTCCTTTGTGTCAGATCTTATTTGCAAGACTGGAAATGAATCACTATGTAGATAACAGGCTGGGCTCACCTGGCACTTCGCAGGCTGTAAAGGCAAGCAAGTCCTCAAAAAGATTGCAGTGTGGGTTTGCAGTAGTGCCTTTTACCTTTTAGGTAGCGCACAGGACTGGGACAAAGTTTCAGGCCCTACAGCTGTCACTGGCTGACTTCGGGCAAGTCCCTTGACCTCATACCACCTCACTTTTCCTCTCTTGACAATAAGCACAATGTGCTCCCTGGCAAAGCACTTCTGCTGTCGTGTTCCTAGTGCAGCAAGCCCTGGGTGTAGTGACAAAGGCACTGTGGAGGTCACAGCAGACTAACAGGAGTCCTGAGAGCGATTCTGACTCAGGGCCTGGAGCTAGCTGTGCATTTCTACTGTCTCCATCCTCAAGATACCTAAGCTTCTCATATTTCTGACGCTCCTGTAAGACACAGAAATCACCTTATTATGTTCTTGACTTGCTCAAAGACACACCTGAACAAGGCACTGAAGTCCAGAAGTGGTATCCCATCTTTCTCTTAGCATCTTAGTTGTTAGCAAAGTAGGTCAGCAACTCCTTTGCTGCTCCTCCAAGCACATCTGCCCCTGTTTAGTGCCCAATATTAGCTCCTTAGATCTTCCTCCACTAAGTTCAGATTTCTTCTTGCTACTCAAGTCTATTTCTTCCTTTCCTTGTTGAGCAGTCACTGCCTGCTCCTCTCTCCATATCTACATCACATAATGGAAAAGAAATCCCTGAGGCAGCCCCCTCTCGGTGCATTCACGCAACAGCTGTAAAGGGAGAAAAGCAATTAAGGACACATGAATGCTAGGTATTTTCAGAACTTTGCCTGACCTGGATATGGTTGCTTCTAATGTCCTCGCTAATGGCTTTCACACTATCATCTGACTTTTTTCCCCAGGGCTGCAGAGCCGACGGCCAGCTGATAGAATCCACGTACATGAGAATTGCTTCTAATTAAATTCTCAGAAAAGATGTTTCTCAGACAAGAGAACTTAGGCCAAAACTGGGTCTATATTTGTTAAAGACAGCTTAAGACTCTTTGAAAAAAAGACTGATTTTCACTTGAATTGTTAAAGCAAGAAGGGCACTGTGAAGCGCTGACAGCACGGCTGATGTGCTAGCAATGGGCAGGACCCAATGGGACAAGGAGGAACATCACCACTGATGATGAGAATGGCTGGGGAAGGGAGGAAGAGCACCTAGATGCCAGAGATAGATAGCCTCACAGACCGGTGGACGGTGGTAGCCCCGGCCAGTCCTGTTGTGGTTCTGACCCCTTCCCACACTGGCCATGATGCCCATGACCTGCCTGGTGCCAGCCGAGGCAGACCACAGCTCAGTAGCTGCTCTGGCCAAAAATGAACCACCCTGGCAGGGCTGGTTTCAGTCAACTTGTGTCCTTGAACAGACTCTCTGGGACACCTCGCAAATGCTCAGAGGGCTCCATTGCGAGGGGCAGGACGTAGGAAGGAAGGCAGGCTTGCAGCCACCTGCATTGGACCAGCTGAAACAGCAGCCAGCCCTTCCTCACGAATAGGTCCTGGGAAAGCCTCCTGCCCAATTCTTCCAGGAGAACACAACAGCAGCACTGCAGGCAAGTGAAAGGACTATTAGCATAACAATGCTGCCCCTCCAAACCCAGAACAAGCTCTTACTCAGCACTTGCCAATTACTCTCCTCAGGTGGCAAGAGTGTCTAGTGCCCATTGCATTCACAGAGGGCTGTTTGTTTTCAGCTCCCTTTAGGTTTTGTTGCAGTAACAGGTTGTTGTTTGGGTTTTTTCCCACGAATATTGCTCACAGCACTTTCCACTGCCACCCTCCAAACACAGCTCATCCTCTTCCAAACACCGTGTACCTGTTCACACTTTCTGCCTCCGATGCTACACTGGATACAGTGGCCACAAGCCTTGGCAACTTATTTCCTTCCTTAGCCAGACCTCTTCATCCCCCTATCACACCCTCTTTCCCATTTCTGTACGTCCATCTCTGTAAGTCCAAAGCCCAGTTTCAGTCAAAATAAATTCTGGGGGTCAGGCTATGTCACTTACCCTGCATTTATAAAATACCTGTCACAAATGTGCCTTGACCTGGATTAAGCCTCAGCCTCTAACTTTGGTCTAAATTGCAATTATTATTGATGAAGAAGAATAATTACTATTAAAAATAATCCTAGATTTCCTTGTTTCTTTCACAAAGCCACAAAATTCTTATAAGCTCTACAGAGTAAATAACTTCAAACATAAGGCTTGCTTAGGCAAAGACATAATGTCTAGTTCTGCTCTCTGATCAACTCATGTAAATCTAGAGAAATTAAATTGGGGGACAGATGAGAACATCCTGGGAGAGTAGAATCGGGATCTTTCTTACACAAAAATCCTGGTGATGATACAGTCAAAAATTCATTAGCAGCCCAATATACTGTAATGTTAAATTGCTCCAAAGGAGCAACTGCCTCAATCATACATGGATGCTTGCCCTTAAAGCCAGTCCATGCTGTCTAATAACCAGCTCACGGCACCCACCGCTGAGCCTCACCATTAGCTGTGCCTCCCAGAAACTAATAAATCCAATAAGGGCGAACTAGTGTGCTATGTCAGAAAACCTCCCTACCCCAGCGACAGCTGGCTCTCCAGTTGGGTATGGGCTTTAGCAGTGCTGAGTTTCATTTATGGAGTACCAGCCATCAAGCACTGCAGCTTCTTTTCTGCTCACAGCCTGCACTGACTGTGACGATGAGATCAAACAGGAAACTGCCGCCTAACGCCGGTGCCGCCGCATGGCCCCGAAGCATGAGCAGCAGCATGTTTACGTGTGAAGGACAAGGTATAAAGCCAGAGGCAAGCTCACATGCTTCATTTAGCGAACACAAAACCTGCCGGAGACCAAAGGTGCTGCCAGGAGCACGGGGCTACATTCCCATCTGGCAAAAAGGCTTATGCCTGTAAATACCAATTTTGTCACAGGTACCAACTGGCCACAAGTCTTAAAGCTGTTGTTTTGACATCTCCTTTGATAACAGTGGTTTTCAGCTGTTTTTAATTCACCTTCAAATGTTTCCCTGTAGTGGTGTGTATGCGCCTGTTGTGGATTTAGGTTTATTGACAAAACAGTTGTGTTCCCCAGTACTTCTTGCAGGCAAGGTGTGGGCCAAACTTAGGGATTTACTTTCAGTGTAAGAATTCCACAAAGACTTAGAGCCTGCTAGTCAGTAAGAAAAAATTTCACAAGTTTTGCTTTATGCCCTGAGGTATGTATATATGTGTGAGTGTGTATGTGTAATGCCCCATTGCTTTCAGCAGGATTCTGCATGACTTCAACAGGGCTGATACTGCCTCGGTCTGCATGGGCAGTGAAGTTGGTAACTGGCATTTCAGCTCCCTTATTTTATGCACTAAAAGAGTGAAGTGTGCCTCAAAGCCCATGGCATTAATAGGACTTGGACAAAAGCCCCTCAGCCCATTCTTTCCCTTCTAATCAATCCACCCCTGTTTGTAAGCAACTAAATGTGTCGATCAGACCCTGCAAAAGCAAAAAGACTGCATACTATTACCACTAATAATTCATACATGCTTACAGCCAATTTGTTTAATCACAGAGAACGTAGATCCTGCTGAACAGCTGCAACCTCCATTTAAAGATCTAAGTTAAATCCAAGGGCTGCAAACCCAATGGAAATCCTTAACCTAATTTTGCAGCTTCAGTAGAGAGCAGATACTGGTTTAGCTCAAGAGTCACATCCTGGCCTGCCCTATAGTTATTGTATTTAGCCAGCTATGCTACCCAGGACACCACACCCATCTTTACAGCTGCTTAAAATGCTTAGGATGCCTATAACATTTCTTTAGAAAGTTAAAAAAATACAAACCAAATCCACTGTGCTGTAATTACCATCATCTGTCATCTTCCATTATCCACTACAGTCATTAAAAGAAATAGAAAGGGGAAGGAAATGTGCAGGTCCATAAACGGCACCTTCACAAAAGGGGCTGCAGCTTCAAGGTGCCAGGGAGCCAGTCAGTGGGACGGGGCCAGCCGGCAGCAGAGGCGCTGGTGGCACTTGGCTGCTGTTTTGGATGACGTGCCACACAC